TCCCGGGCTGAGCTCAAGGCCGCCACGCAATCCTTGTTCGGGGAAGCTGCGACCGGGGCCCGCCAGGCTCGCCAAGATCACGCTAAACTGCGTTCTCGGCTCACCGAGCAGCGGCGCACAGGCGCGCGAGATGACGGCGCTGCAGCTGCTGCCCCAGATGCGGCCAAAGCCGCCGCGCCCCCCACCGGTGGGCCAGAGGCTGGCGGTGCCCCGCCCGCTGCTGCGCCGACCGATTCGCCCGCGTCCTCGGCTTCAGCGGCCCCGACGACGGCATCGGCTTCTGCTTCTACTGAGGCCGCGGCTCAAGCAGCCAAGGCCAAGCTCCGCGCTGATGCCGCCAAAGATTTCAATGACAGCCCCCTATCAATGACACCCCCTCCCACAAGCGACCGGTGGCCAACCCAGAATCATGAGCCCCCCCACCACCATGCCTTGTAACAAAAACCATGCTAAACACACTCTGCCTCCAAATTCGGAGCATGCGCAGCCAGCCCTATCCGGCCTCCCCCCGCAATACCTGTCAACAAACAATACAGAGTACACTTGGCGGCGGCGGCGGCTGCAGCGGCGGCGGACGCGGCGGCTGCGGCGGCGGCGGCGGCGGCGGGGGGGGCGGCGGCGGCGGCGGCGGCGGCCACGGCGGGGGCGGCGGCGGCGGCGGCAGCGGCGGCGGCAGCGGCTGCCGCGGCTGCCGCGGCGGCGATTTGGCAGCGGCGGCGGCGGCGGCGGCGGCGGCGGGCGCGGGCGGCGGCGGCGGCGGCGGCGGCGGCGCGGCGGCGGCGGCGGCTGCGGCGGGCAGCGGCGGCGGCGGCGGCGGCGGCGGCTGCGGCAGCGACGGCGGCGGGGCCTCCAGTAGCTGCCCATCCAAAGGCGATTGCTGCGTGTGCTGAGGCAAGGGCCAAGCTCGGGTGCTACGCGCGCGCTGGGAGGGCGGGCGGGAGTGGGCGAGACAGCTTGCGGGCGGGCAGGGGGTCTTGACGTCTCCCAACCCTGTCCCCCCGCCCCCATCTGGTGCCAAGCCTGTCGCCAGCGCCTAAAAAGGGGCACTGGCCCATGGGTTGCGCTCTCCCGTGGGGTCGCTCAGTTTTGGCAGCGATTCCACTGGGTTAAGCCTTGGGCTTCATCCATTCTTCGAGCCCCTTCTGGAGCCCCCATAGATGCCCGACCCCCTACCTCCTTCGACCCTCCCCCTCCGAGTCCTTCTGACGGGCCTAGGGGTTCCTCGGCGCCCTCAATCGAAACGGCCAATGTCTCAGGGTGCTCCGCGGTGGAGCGCCGTCGCGCCCCAAGGCGGGGGCAGGCGACGGCGTTCCACCCGCGGCGCCAGGCGGGCGACCTCCTGGGCCCGCCTGCGCCCGTGGCTCCGCCACACCGGTGTGCGACCGCATCCGCTGCGTCTCCACGTGCAGCACTGCTCTCTGTGGCCAGTGCACCGGGCCCGCGCAGACCCTGATGCGTGCACAGATGTAGCACCGCGCCGCCGAGGCTGTTGAAGCTCCCTGACAGCATGGGCAACGGCGCGGCGTTGCTTCAGCCTGAGAATACCACCTCCAGGAAGCAGCCCATGCCGCCACCGGGCCAAAGGCTCTCGACCTGGAAGATCGCGGTCCCAGCTGTTTGCCCGAAGTTGTCGAGGGTAACGCACTCCAGGAAGGCCCCTGGTACGGGCCCCATGCGCTGGTAGGCCATCAGTGCTGAGGCGCCGTGCAACCAGGGGCCCGCGCCTCCAAGCGCTGCCGCGGCGCCTCCTGCGCCACCAGGCGCCGCCCAGCCCAGCGAACCTCCGCCTCCAGGAGCGGCACCTGGGCCCCCACCAAGTGCGCCCCCAGCACCTCCGAAGCCGCCGACGCCCAAGGCTCCCGCACCCAACCCTGGGGCAAGGCCCATTGGCGGCCCTCCACCGACCGCGCCGACTCCGACCACTCCAGCGGTTCCGCCTCCCAACGCCGGCGGCGCGAGCCCACAGCACCAACGCGCGCGCCTGCGCCAGCGGCCCCGCCGCGGACCGCCCGCCCCGAGCGCCAGGGCACCGCCCGCGGCGCCAGCGCCCGCGCCCAGAGCGCCCGCTGGGACTCCAGGCGCAACAGCATCCGCTCCGCCTCCGCCAGGGTCTCCAGTGGGGCCTCCAGCCGCGACCGCGGCCGCGGCCACGGGAGGGACCCCCCTCGCGGCAGCAACCGCCGCGCCGCATGCGGGCGGTCCCACTGGGGGTTTCGGTGAGGCTCCCTATTGGGCCACGAAGCGTTGTACTGGGTGGATGAAAATGCCAAAATGTGGGGGACGCATGCGGGCGGTCCCACTGGGGGCTTCGGTGGAGCTCCCTATGGGGCCACGAAGCGCTGTATTGGGTGGGTGAAAATGCCAAAGTGGGTGTGGGGGACGCATGCGGGGGGTCCCACTGGGGGCTTCGGTGGAGCTCCCTATGGGGCCACGAAACGCTGTACTGGGTGGGTGAAACTGCCAAATTGGGTGTGGGGGACGCACGCGGGCGGTCCCACTGGGGGCTTCGGTGTCGCTCCCTATGGGGCCACGAAACGCTGTACTGGGTTTGTGAAACTGCCAAATTGGGTGTGGGGGACGCACGCGGGCGGTCCCACTGGGGGCTTCGGTGGAGCTCCCTATGGGGCCACGAAACGCTGGGCTGGGTGGGTGAAACTCTGTGGGGGACGCATGCGGGCGGTCCCACTGGGGCCTTCGGTGGAGCTCCCTATGGGGCCACGAAACGTGTGAGTGATGTGCCGAAATGGGTGTGGGGGACGCATGCGGGCGGTGGAGAGGAGGAGGGGGGGGAGGAGGAGGAGAAGAGGAAAGGAACGCGGGGACCGTCTCTTCAAAACGAGGACCCAACACCACAGGATGGTTGGGAAAAAGTAAGGGTGGACCTTAGGACGGGAGAGTGTAGCCTCCTCCTCCTCATCATCGTCAGCAGCATCACCAACATCATCCTAATCCTCATCGTCCTGCCTCCTCTTTTGGCCTCCTTCTCCTCCGTCCTCTTTGGGATTCCTGCCTTTTCCCGGCTCCTCCTGAATCCTCTTGGAACCTCTGGGGGCTCCTGGAGCCTTACGCCCTACTGTGGCCTTCTGGGGTACTCTTCCTCGTCCTCTTCCGCCTCCCCCTCCTCTTCCTCCTTCCTCTTCCTCCTCCTCCATCACCTCCTCCTCCTCCTCCTCCTCTTCTTCCGCTTCTTCATCTTCTTCGTATTACTACTATTATTGTTGTTCCTCCTCCTCCTCATTCTCCTTCTCCCCCTCTCTCACCTTTTACTCCTCCTCCTCCTCCTCCTGCCTTCGCCTTCGCCTTCTCCTCCTCTTCTTCTTCCTCCTCCTCATCCTCCTACAGCCTACTCCTTGGGCCTCCTGCTTCCTCTTCATCCAGCCTCCTCCTTTGGCCTTCCGCTTCCTCTTGAGGCCTCCTGTTGCCTCCTGCCTCCTGGGGCCTCCTGGAGCCTTTCGGGGCCTCCTGTTGCCTGGGGCACCCCTGGGACCTCCTGGGTCCTTCTGTAGCCTCCTGGAGAACTCCTGCGGCCTCCTTGGTAGGGTTTCCTGGTTGTTCCGGGGCCTCCCTGGGCTTCGGGTGCCGCCTCCTGCAACGCCCCGTCGTTTCCCGAAGCCTCCCGGGGGTCCCGTGGCCTTCTGAAGCACTCTGGGGTCTCCCGCTCGGGGTTTCCTCCACGCTCAGGCTGCAGGAGCCCACGTGATGGTATGACCCGCTCGGACTAATGACATGAAAGGCGGGCCCCATAGGGAGGGGAGCTCCCGCTCGAAGCTTTCTTGCAATTCACTCGCACACGAGACTCCCGCTCGAGACTTCCTCATCATTCGGGCCTCGGTAACCCGAACATGGCGACAGCCAACGGTTTGAGGATGACCACGAGCCACACAGGGAGGGGGCTCCCGCTTGAGGCGTCTTCGCGATTCGCTCAGACACGAGGACTCTCCGGCTCGAGACTTCCTCAAGGTTCAAGCCGCAAAGATGAAGACAGCTGCAAGTTCGAGGGTAGTCGCCTCGGGCCTCGGATTATTGACACGGAGCGCGAGCCCCATGGGGTGGAGACTCCCGCGCGAGACCTCCTCGCCATTCGCTCAAAGACGAGGCTCCCGCTCGAGGTCTTCTCCAGACTCAAGCCCCAGGAACCCGAAAGTGACGACAACTACTGGTTAGAGGGCGGTCGTCCTGGATTACCCACGTGACGCGCGGGCCCCATTTGGTTGGGGTTTCCGCTCGAGGCTTCCTCCCCAATCACGCACAGACGAGCCTCCCGCTCGAGATTTACAAACATGAAAGCGCAGGCCCCATAGGGTGGGTGTTCCCGCTCGAGACTTCCCCGGCATTCATTCACAGACGTGTCTCCCGCTTGAGACTTCCTCATCATTCGGGCCTCAAGAAACCAAACATGGCAGCAGTCGAAAGTCTGAGGACAAACGCCTCGGACTGCTACAGAAAGCGCGGGGTCCCATAGGGAGGGAAGAAAGGGGCTCTCGCTCGAGACTTGTTCCCGATTCACTCACTGACGGGGATCCCGCTCGATACACTTCCTCAATCTAAATGTGTGCGTATGTGTATGTATGTGTGTGTGTGTGTGTCTGTCTGTTTTTTTTTTTTTTTTTTCTCTCTCTCTCTCTCTCTCTCTCTTTTTGTCAGTCTGTCAGTCTGTCAATCTGTCAGTCTGTCAGTCTGTTTGTCTGTCTGTCTGTCTGTCTGTCTGTCTGTCTGTCTGTCTGTCTGTCTGTCTGTCTGTCTGTCTCTGTCTCTGTCTGTCTGTCTGTCTGTCTGTCTGTCTGTCTCTCTCTGTCTGTCTGTCTGTCTGTCTGTCTGTCTGTCTGTCTGTCTGTCTGTCTGTCGGTCTGTTTGTGTGTCTCTGTCTGTGTGTGCGTGCGCATGTGAATGTGTGAATGCGCGTAGAGAAAACAGGAAACCCACTTGGGATGCGGGGACAAACGAGGTGTCGCGACTTTGAAGGTCCTCTTTTCCCTCCTTCTCGACCACCTCCGGGCCGCCTCGAGCACCTGCCTGAAACGCATGAGGCCCCCGTGCCTGCTCAGCAGCTCCGCGAGCCAGCCCTCGCGCGCTGGGCGGGGAGCGGCGAATCGCGAGGTCAGGGAGCCCCGCGGGCCCGGGAGGACCCCCGTCGTCATCCTCCTCCGCCTCCTCGTCCTCCTGCTCCTGCTCCTGCTCCAGCTCCTGCTCCTGCTCCTCCTCCTCCTCCTCCTCCTCCTCCTCCCCGTTCCTCCCCCTCCTCCTCTTTACCCTCCTCCTCCTCCTCGTTCGTTCCTCGCTCGCTCCTTGGGGCTTAAAAGTTTGAGCCCGTGTCAGAAGATGAAAAGGTGAAAGTCGCGCACAGAATTCCAAATTCATGCAGGAGGAGGGGGGGTCAGGGCGACCCCAACGCGGGGGCAGCCAGCGAGTCCCCTTCAGAGTGCCCGACTGCCACGCCAGGAAAAGGCGGTCCTGTCGGCGAGGGGGGTCGGGCCAGGGGTCATACCCGACACCATTCCCCAGGCGGCCTCCCCTCCCCAGCAAGCGTCCAGACGCGCCGTCTGAACATCTGGGTCGTGGGTGAACACAATCCCGTCCCCCCATCGGACACCGCCCGTCACCAGATACGAGGCCTCATGCAGCGGCTGTGCCCTTGAGGGGCAGGCGCTCTGCTGAAAAACGGGGGCACTTTCAACCCGCATCGTGCAAACTCCCGCCGCATTGCGGTCGGAAACCCAGTCAGGGGCGGCCCCCTCCCCCTCTTCATTGCGCACTGCCCCTTCCTCGCACCCCCGCATGGTAGGCGTAATTGAGGCGTTGCGCAGTCGCATGCTGGCCGCACTGCAGAGACTAGCAACAAAGCCCACAGTCTCCCCAAGCGGCCTTGAACTCGCCGACGGTGCCGTGCCCCCACCCGCTCTTTGACGTAAACAAGAGGGGCGGAGACGATGGTTGAGCTAACGCATCGGATCAGCATGAGAGAACTGTCCAAGACACGTGGGGGGTGGGGGGGGGATGGGCGCGCCAGAAGGCCAAGCCCCCCCGAAGGCCACCGATGGGGCGACGCCAGGATCCACAGGTGGGCACGTGTCCAACAGGGTCCCTCGACAACCAGGAAGCCTAGGGAAGGCCGCAACTTTGGGGGGCATTCCGGCGACAGGGGCAGCAGGGTCAACAGGTGGGGACACGGGGAGGATCCAGCAGGCAGGAACGGCCTGGGCCACGCATCGCACTAAAAGTTCAGTGCAAGACCGCAACCAAATCTTCTCTCTCGCCAACCACCCCCTCACACAGCCGCTGGTCTGAACACACCCCCACGGGGACACAGTGGTTCGAACGCGAGTGAGGCCCACGGGGAGCGCAGCGATGGGGTGGGAAGCTTGCACAAAACTCGTCAACATGTACTCAATATACAGACTCGCGACCTTCCCCTGCTCGATGAATCTACATGCCGTAGCTAACGTGTATGGGGAGAGTAAGCCCGTGGAGTCGGGCGTCGCACACTCAAGAACGATGGGCCACACACGGTCTTCTCGCCACAATGGTTGCTCCGCGAACACTCGCATGGCATTCTTGCTGCGGCCCTCTCTGTAAACCACAAACACAGCGTACGAGCCGGCAGAGGCGGGGCGGGAGGCAGGATTGGCCCAAATCAGCACAGGAGCAGCCAGAGGTGCAACAATGGCGGCAAGCAGAGCTATCTTTGGCTGCTGTGGGATCCGGACCAGGGGTCGGGAAACAGGTCCCGCAATATTCACCGCGGGAACATGAGCAAAGCACTCCGAAAGTCCCTTGGGGCGGTTCACACGTCTTACTTCCCGCCTATCCGCAGGGCACCCCGCCAGCTCATCCTCGGAAGGTCGCAGCTGGGAATTAAGCCAACACGTGCGACAGCTAGCAGCACTCTGACTGTGTTTCAGCAATCTAGCAATATGGGTAACACAAATCGGACACACCGTTCCCGTGACAAACGCAGTCGGGCTGGCTTCAGTCTCATGTGTTTCCTGATGTGGATTCGTACCACTTGCTCCTGCTCAGACGCGAAACCACACATATAACATATAACAGACGTACTGGGAGTCCGCAGCCTGGGGTTGGGTTCCAGTGGCCTCCTCTGGGTGGAGAGCAGCAGGGGTAGGGGGAACGAGTGGGGTCCCCCTGGCCCTTTCCATGGGCAGCGGCATGGCGATGGCGCTGGTCAGACTTGAATTGTGGGCCAGACACTTGCTGGCATCGGTGAATCTACTCCTCCACATCTCACACCCAAGCTCTTCCTGCCACTGGAACCTACTCTGGGCACCCGCAGTGCCCACCAGCCTCACAAGGCGACGGGGGTCATTCCGAACAGTATTCAGCCAAAAAGGCATCCAATCGCCAGAGGGCGGGTCCGACGAAGGGTCGATTGTGCTGAGCCACGCAAGGTCCTGGCAGATAAGTTGGGGCCAAAGGCCAGAGACCCCCCACACCGCATCGAGCAGCATGCGCAACATCGGGGGGGGCACGCACCAGAGACCGAGCCAGGAAACGAAGACGCATGATAAAGAGCACGACTTGGACGGGCAGACGACTGACAGCGGCCAGGATCTTGCGAGAAGCAACCTGCTCATCCTTATTGTTGCGCTTTCCTAAATTCATGGCCGTTCTGTAAATCGCTATATGGTGCTGCGCAATCAGTCTCTCAATGTACCCAGGCACATCATCCCAAGTAGAGCTGCAATAAAACATACGCGACGCAGCAAGCGACTCACAAAACATGACCTTCTTGGCCAGTGGCATGAGGGGGGAGGGGGCGATCAGTTTCTTGATTGGCTTGAGGGCCCCCGCCATCCCCGCGGCACGGTGCGCCACCTCGGCTCCGAGCCCCCCCGTATCCATGCACATGGCCCCCAGAACTCGGTGGCACCAAACAGCTTCCAAGTCCTGTCCCCAGGCTTCCGAACGGAGGGTGGGTCGACTTTGCGTGGCCAACCTTCTTCTTGCAGCTTTTTGCCCCGCCCCGCGGAACGCCAACAAAATCTTGGTCTTGATGGGGTTGACCATGAGACCCCGCTCCTGGACAAGTCCACACAGGATGTCATACGCCCGAATGACCTTTCCAGGGGGCTCCTGCGCGCTGCCAACTAACAGTAATGTCAGGTCGTCTATAAAAGACACATCACTTGTGGGCTGGTCCCAATCTTCAGCTACCGAGACGCGCGTGGCCGGTTGGGTCGGGGTCCAAACGAGGTCTTCCTGCTTCAGAGCAGCCTGGAGGTCTGTCACGATACCCTAGAACACCACGTTAGACACGTCCCCCGCGGGAATGGATCCAGGTTTGGATCCTACCGTGGGGGCGATCCAATCGCTGGTGAGGGCAAGCCTGTTGTCGCATCTGGACGTGGCCTTGATACCCGTACCCTCGCCTCCGAACTTGGACCGAGATTGAACGGTACTGGCAGTGGCCGTCCCCTGGGATATCAACTCGTTGAAGCAGGTGTCGCACTCCCTCGAGCTGCTGGGACAAAACGACCGCCATCGCCTCTCCAGCCGCCTGAGGGCGCCAGAAAGGTGGAGACAGTCGAGGACGGATGTGAAAGGAAGGGGTAGGGTTGCCACACCTTTCAATTTGCTTGTGATTTGGGGGTGCTGCTTAGGGGGGAGAAGAGCGTTGCCGCGGTTGAATCAACACGTGTCGGGTAGGACGCTGAGGCGGCGACGTCGCCCATGACACCCCTGGTGGCTGTGCGCCGCGAGGCGCCGAAAAGGTAAGCCAAACGACTACGGAGTAGAGGGATAATAGGGAAAGAGGAATTGTGAGTATACTGAGAAAGAGACGACTGGGATGGAGAGAGGGAGGCATGGACGGGAGGATGGAGTGAGGGGGGCGCAGATGTTGAAGAGGCAATGGGGGAGGGATGAACGGCAGGAGTGAAGCTGAGAGTGAGGGCTGGAGAGAGGGCGGGTGCGCCAAGGGGTCGTGACCGAGGGGTTGAATGAGGGATGGGTGGGATGGCGTAGAGGGGAACGGGGGGAGGCGCTGGAGGGAGGGCAGGAGATTTAGGCCCGATGTCCGTCCTGTGGTGGAGGGAAAGCTGGACGGAGGGTTGGGGGGGGAGAAACGTGAAGCAAGTAATGGATTGCCGCAGGGCGCCCTCTCGAGCGGTTGTTGGGGCACAGAATCTGGGCCTGCAGCGGCCAGTCGGGGCGGCTGGGGCGCCTCAGGAACGCTGTCGACGAAGCGCAGCTGCAGGGAGCATTCCGAAGCGAAATGAGCTTCGACACCGAGAAACACCGTTGTCCCCTCTCGCCTTCTCTCTACGTCGGGCCCTTCCGCTGAAAGCCGGGTTCCCGAACCTCTCCTGTGTTCCAGACGTGCCAATTTTTCGAGCTGCGTTCAGCCGTGGCGACGTGGAGACCCAAGCCAAAAAACTCAAGCCTCGCTTGTTGAGGCTGCAGGTTCAAACCTGCTGGCTGGCCCTGTCCAGTGGACTCATCAATGCAATGCTAATGTGTTGGGAGACTCGAAGGGGGTTTTGCTCTTTTTGCGCCCGGGGAATGTGTCCTGACGGGCGTGGTGCCGTTTGCCAAGGAGTGTGGGTATCTGTGTCTGCGGTGAGGGGCTGTTGGCGGTCGCGCTGCGTCCGAAGATTTTGGCCTCACCTGGCTGGCGTCATTCTCAGGAGGGTCGGGGCTGACGTTTATGCAAAGGGTGGATGCTCCCGGTGCGGCCGGGGATTTTGGCCTAACGTGCGTGTTGCTCTCCGATTGGATGTGGATTCTGGTCTGGCGTGTGTGCGGCGGGTGGGAGTGTGGACTTGACGACTGCGTGTGGTTCTTGTTGCCGTGCGGCCGGGGATTTTGGCCTAACGTGCGTGTTGCTCTGCGCTTGGATGTGGATTCTTGTCTGGCGTGTGTGCGGCGGGTGGGAGTGTTGACTCGACGTCTGCGTGTGGTTGTTGTTGCCGTGTGGCCGGGGATTTTGGCCTAACGTGCGTGTTGCTCTCCGCTTGGATGGGGATTCTGGTCTGGCGTGTGTGCGGCGGGTGGAAGTGTTGACTTGACGGATGCGTGTGGTTGTTGTTGCCGTGTGGCCGGGGATTTTGGCCTAACGTGCGTGTTGCTCTCCGCTTGGATGGGGATTCTGGTCTGGCGTGTGCGGCGGGTGGAAGTGTTGACTTGACGGATGCGTGTGGTTGTTGTTGCCGTGTGGCCGGGGATTTTGGCCTAACGTGCGTGTTGCTCTCCGCTGGGATGGAGGTTCTGGTCTGGCGTGTGTGCGGCGGGTGGGAGGGTTGACTTGATGGATGCGTGTGGTTGTTGTTGCGTTGTGGTGTTGCCGCTCCCACGGCATGGCGAGACCATCGTGATGCTCGACGGAGGGGCGCGCTCGCCTTGCGTCCGGGGGTTTAGGCCTCACCTGGCTGGCGTCATTGTCAGGAGTGTCGGGGCTGACGTTTATGCAAGGGGTGGATGCTCCCGGTGCGGCCGGGGATTTTGGCCTAACGTGCGTGTTGCTCTGCGCTTGGATGGGGATTCTTGTCTGGCGTGAGTGCGGCGGGTGGGAGTGTTGACTTGACGTCTGCGTGTGGTTGTTGTTGCCGTGTGGCCGGGGATTTTGGCCTAACGTGCGTGTTGCTCTCCGCTTGGATGGGGATTCTGGTCTGGCATGTGCGGCGGGTGGAAGTGTTGACTTGACGGATGCGTGTGGTTGTTGTTGCCGTGTGGCCGGGGATTTTGGCCTAACGTGCGTGTTGCTCTCCGCTGGGATGGGGGTTCTGGTCTGGCGTGTGTGCGGCGGGTGGGAGTGTTGACTTGACGGATGCGTGTGGTTGTTGTTGCGTTGTGGTGTTGCCGCTCCCTCGGCATGGCGAGACCATCGTGATGCTCGACGGAGGGGCGCGCTCGCCTTGCGTCCGGGGATTTCGGCCTCACCTGGCTGGCGTCATTGTCGGGAGTGTCGGGGCGGACGTTTATGCAACGGGTGGATGCTCGCGGTGAGGCCGGGGATTCCATCGTGATGCTTGACGGAGGGGCGCGCTCGCCTTGCGTCCGGGGATTTAGGCCTGACCTGGCTGGCGTCATTGTCAGGAGTGTCGGGGCTGACGTTTATGCAAGGGGTGGATGCTCCCGGTGCGGCCGGGGATTTTGGCCTAACGTGCGTGTTGCTCTGCGCTTGGATGGGGATTCTTGTCTGGCGTGAACGCGGCGGGTGGGAATGTGGACTTGACGACTGCGTGTGGTTGTTGTTGCCGTGTGGCCGGGGATTTTGGCCTAACGTGCGTGTTGCTCTCCCCTCGGATGGGGGTTCTGGTCTGGCGTGTGCGGCGGGTGGCAGTGTTACCTTGACGGATGCGTGTGGTTGTTGTTGCCGTGTGGCCGGGGATTTTGGCCTAACGTGCGTGTTGCTCTCCGCTGGGATGGGGGTTCTGGTCTGGCGTGTGTGCGGCGGGTGGGAGTGTTGACTTGACGGATGCGTGTGGTTGTTGTTGCGTTGTGGTGTTGCCGCTCCCTCGGCATGGCGAGACCATCGTGATGCTCGACGGAGGGGCGCGCTCGCCTTGCGTCCGGGGATTTCGGCCTCACCTGGCTGGCGTCATTGTCGGGAGTGTCGGGGCGGACGTTTATGCAACGGGTGGATGCTCGCGGTGCGGCCAGGGATTTTGGCCTAACGTGTGTGTTGCTCTCCTTTTGGATGGGAATTCGGCGATGCCCGACGGAGAGGATGCGACAAAGATCCGATTTGGGGAGGATGTCTCACGCAAAACGGCCATTCTCTCACAGTGGGCCTCACAATCATGGGCTCTCCTTCACGATCTACGTGAGGGGTGCCACCGATTGTCTGAATTTCGACGATGTCCCTAGCGAAACGGCCAGATTGCTCAAAGATGGTTCGACGAAACCCTGATTCGGGGCGGGTGTCTCAGGCTCTCCTTCACGATCTGTGTGAGGGGTGCCACCGATTTTCAGAATTTCGACGATGTCCCTAGCGAAACGGCCAGATTGCTCACAGATGGTTCGACGAAGGCCCGATTTGGGGGTGTCTCAGGCTCTCCTTCACGATCTGTGTGAGGGGTGCCACCGATTTTCAGAATTTCGACGATGCCCCTAGCGAAACGGCCAGATTGCTCACAGATGGTTCGACGAAGGCCCCATTTGGCGAGGGTGTCTCAGGCTCTCCTTCACGATCTGCGTGAGGGGTGCCACCGATTTTCAGAATTTCGACGATGTCCCTAGCGAAACGGCCAGATTGCTCACAGATGGTTCGACAAAGGCCGGATTTGGAGAGGATGTCTCAGGCGAAACGGCAATTCTCTCATAGAGGAGCTGAAAATCATTGGACATACACTGTGTTTTTGAAGGTTTGATGTTGAAATGGTTGAAATCCCATGTGTTTTTGGACCTCTCCTTCACGATCTGCGTGAGGGGTGCCACCGATTTTCAGAATTTCGAAGATGTCCCTAGCGAAACGGCCAGATTGCTCAAAGACGGACGGACGGACGCATTAATCCCCTCTGAGCTCTACTCCCTCGGCGAGGTGCGTATGATAATATGTATATGTATATGTATATGTGTGTATATATATACGGGTGGTGCAGTTCATGTGGTGCAAAGCTTGACACATCCCATGCTCTTGCAGGCATCCCACCCGCCCACCGGCAACTTGGTTTGAAAAACCCATGCGTTGGCGATTGAGATGCATGCTTGGCGTTGGCTGGTGCATCTCTGCAGCCGCACCAACCCTAGCACACGCGCGCAGACGCCAGCTAGTTTGGCGCCACGGACGCGGCCGCGGTGGCGCTAACCGCTGGGCGCATCCCAGCGGGCACTTCCCTGCGAGTCGGCAACTTGGTCGAGCGCGGTATCATGGCAACGCCGAGTGCGGTAGACGCGATGATGATACCAGCGATGTTGCTGACGATGTTCGCACCGACGAAGGCGCGGCCACAGGCGGCGCCGATGCTGATCACGCCGGCGACGATGACGGCGTCCTCGCTTCGGCGATGAAGGCTTTGGACAGATTTCGACATGCGCGCGCGGCCGACGCGCGACAGTGGCCCGCACGGTTTTATTTGACACGGATCGTGCCCCCCCAGCACGCGCGCAAAGGGCGTGCGAATGATGCGGGCATGCGGCGCCAGAGGCCCTTTTGACAAACATCCAGGAAGATGCGGCAAACAAACGATGGTTTTGGTAAGACTTCGCAAGAGCGCGCGCGCAAGTTTGTATCTGTTTTTTGAAAACCGATGTTGCGAAACCTTGCGTTTTTGAAAGTGTTGTCGATATTCGGTTTCGAAATCGCTGCGACGCCCAACATTTGTTTAATACTTCCGGCATGCGCGCGCGACGATGCGCGCGCGTGCACTTCGTCTCGTTTTTCTGCGAAGGATTCTCGCGACGGCACGCGCGCAAAGGCGTTCGAACGAACTCGACATGCGTGCGCGAAGCCCGTTTGGTAGCATGCTCGGAGAATGTGGAAAACAAAAGGTTGTCTTAAGAATTCGCAAGAGCGCGGGCGCAATTGTTTTTTAATTGCTATTCTTATGTTTTGAA